CCCACCCACCACACTCACACTCACACCCACACCCCACACCCATCCACACCCACACCCCACACGCACACCCACATCCACACACCCACACACCCACACCCCAGTATCTAGGATCATTTTGCGCCATCGCTCCACTGTATTTGTTGAATCTTTAATTTTTATTATCTTAAAAAAATTAAAAACATAATTGGGTTTGAATCAAGTGTCGATTCATACAGAGATTCGAACAAAACAATTTTCAGAAGCATCTTTTGGTGAATTTTCCGTCATCAATTCATAAGGATCGTTGGCCTCCTAATAGTCCTGATTTAAATCTATTGGATTATTGGAACAAAGTGACACTCAATAAGACTTTGATTGATGAGCTGAAAAAAGTTCTGAAAAGAATTCAAACAGAAGTTGTTTTTGAAAGTTGTCCATCTTGGACCTCTCGACTGTATCTTCTGTCGAAAAACAATGGTAGTTACCTTCGTTACTATAACATATCATTTTGTTGAGCTTTCAAAGACAAATCTTTCGAAAAACAATAGAAGCCTAAGCAATGGAATTCGAGAAAGATATCTCGAAAATACTCAGAACGGCGTACAACCTGGGCCACCTGATATATATGTGAGTCTAGAAACCATTTGTTTTCATTTTACTAGAAAGAATTATGACGATTTTTGATGTGCGTTTCTATCTACTTCCATGACATTGTGCCTATGGTAGGACTTTGTTTTCATAATATTTATTTATCACATTTGACAGATAACGATCTTTTATCTGAATTATCTACATCTTGTCTTCGTTCGACTGTATGTGAAGTTTTTTCGGCGACTAAATACGTTTAACATAGAAAAAAGATAATATCTATGAGTATATCATTGGGTGAAGAGGACCATGAACAGTCATAATCTTCTTGTTCTATGGTCCGCATAGCAAAAGTGTATCTTTTAGTATGCGTGCAAGCATTCAAAATAATAAAATCAATTTGTGTTTTGTGTTTTACTATCAAAAAGCAGTAGCGATTCCTAAAGTTTCTTATTTTAAGCATTCTTTTCTTCTCAAAATAACTATAAATAACTTCAAACATATAGTTGATTAAATTATTTTTCTTCATAGTATATTCACAAACGTATTGATTTGTTACATGTCTTTTCTAACTCGAATCGAAATACCAATACTTTTTCTTATGCTTCGATATTGAAGATAAATGCTCCCTATTAAACATACTGATCATGAAGATTTATTACAACAGGTTACGGTGTCAATGCCCTGTTGATGTGGGTATGGAATGTTTGTGTGTGGTTGGATTTAAGCGTGATCCATCTTTGTATATTCACTCACAATGTTACTCAGATTCACCTCTCTCTACCCATACGGTTTATAAATTAGATGATTTCTATTTTTTAATGTGTTTCGCTTCTTTTCCAATTTTTAAGATGCTTGTAAGAAATCAACCAACTGAAAATAGAACTTTTCAACTGTTAGATGCAGGATAAAAATGGATCAATCTGAGATCGATAAGTCTGAAAGTTATTAGATTCTTTTGGGGAAGCTAAACTTTAAAAAAAGAAAAGCAAAGTGCATTTAGAATGTTGTAGAGCATGCACGTGGAAAGTAAGAGTGCACTGCAGCAACAAATCAAAGGCTTAAAATGCAGTTCAAGCAAATTCGCAGGTTTGGTTTCTAGTTTCAGGATCTAGTACAATTCTCGTATGATTTATTATAATCTTATCAGATCGTACCTCAAGATCCGATATGATCTTATAAGAATCATGTAAGATCTTTGCTTTTGTAAATCGTTGGTGGAGGTTTTATGAAAATATTCTCACATTTCACTTGAATATGCAGTTTTTTTCTGTTGCACGAACTTAATAGGTTCACAATTTTCATCTGTCAATTTATGAAACTCGTTTTTAGTCAAATATTTCTTGGCCATTCTGCTATTTCGAATCGCTATAAATTGCCTGTTTTGTTTATTGATCTGTGTTCGTTGGAAATTTAGATATAGTAGAGATCGTATTTTTCGAGAATAAAATTTAGAGTTATTCTGAATCCGAATAGGTAATAGAAAAAATTTCGAATTAAGAGTGAAGTCCCGGATGAAGTAGTCGACTCTTCGGGTTTTTGCATGCAATCTATGAAGACTATGAAAAACAGAAAAATAGATGTATACTTTTTACTTCAAACTCAACTGGCTACTAGAAGCACAAAAGATAAGAAATTCGATGATAAGAGAAAGAAAGCAGACAATAAAAGTAAAAATTCATCGTTCTTCATTTGTTTTTGGCACACATGAAACTTATCACTATAGCCAGCATACTTAAGCACTGAAATATGAACTTTGATACTTCAAAGTGTTGGTTTAACAAGTAGCGAGCTTTTATCATAACAGCACATTGTTAACCATAATAAGAATGTGAGTGTTCTAACTTCGTCTCAAAATTTTTCATGTTGATATGATCGAATCCAGCCTTTACATTATCTGTCAGATCTTTGATGAGTTACATGATCTTCTGTCACATTTAAGGAAAGCGGGAGATGAATTGAAAGTTTGAATCGTAAGCATTTCAGTATTTCTAGAGGGAAACGATGTACTCTGGTGTTTTTGAGGTATACGGAGTTCAGCAAAGTCCATGATGTTCATCAAAGTACAGAGTCCAACGAGAATAAGTCAATTTGAGATAGCATTGATGGCTTTTCCCTGTCATTTGTACTTGACTTCTATAACGTGGACTGACCGAATTTCAGAAATATAGTTAGCCTCTAGAAGGTACAAGAGTATATCGTTTTCCTATAGGTTCCATGTACTGCTAGAACCAACGGACCTCATGAAGTCAAACCCGAGTACATGAAGCCTGTGAATACTGAAATCTGCGAGTACTTCGTTCCCCCCTCGAGCAATGTTTCTTTTTTCAAAGTACTTCATCATAATTTTTGTGAAATAGTTTAACCACATACCTTATTACATTACTGTACCAAATAGTCTACATCTCAATATTCAGTAGATTTTCATATCAGAAACATAACACAAACAGAGTACATAGTGAAGAGTTTCGTCTCGTTAGAGTTCAAACCGTTCTTTTTACAGATAGTAATAAGTAAATTGTTTTTGTTTTAGATCAAACAATCGTCCATTGTTCGAAGCTATATCCAAGTAAATTAACAGTTGTATATTTACATATATTACCAATAAATCAATCGATTGGATAAAATGCTAAATGACACTACTTTTAATAACGCTTTGTTGAAAGAAACTGCCGAGGAAATCATCGAAATCTTAAAACTCAATCATCATGAAAACAAAGAACAAATTGTCGATGATATATTGAGGAATGGTCAACAGTCGTTGGTCAAATATAGAGATGATATTATACCCAAAGTTTACAACGAAGCAATGAGAGATAGTGAAAACAAATTGATTATCTTGTTAAAAGAATATCTTAAAAAGAAATGGGAAATGCAATACGACACATCTCATGAGTGGCTTATTTCATTTTTCAAACAATATGAAAACATGGGAAATCACAATGCATACGAACGTGTTTTGATTCGAACATCTAAATATGGAAACAAATATATGAAGGATTGCCCAGTATTATCAATTGTTTTACAAATTCTTTTTGAAGGTATTGACGATGAATGTTTAAAGGAAACGAATGTTTTCGATGATCTATGGTTCACATTAACCAATGATGGTTTAAGCTCAATTACTAAATATTCTGAATATATCAGTAAAAATTGCATGAGTCAACAATTGAAAAGTCAATCAATATTATTTCGAGCTTTATCGGAACATTACCGCGAAAATGTATTTCTATCATTAAAAGAAAGCAAGATTGTAGGCGATGGAAATATATATAAATTAATATTAGATGATATTACTGAACATGGCTGGTTGACGGATGTACAATCTATCAAAGATGATGTCGCACCACGGTCATGCAATATGCTATTGGAAAAACTTCGTTCTTTCCATAAGAAGGCAGAATTGCCACAACGTGAAGAGTCAAAGACAACACAAGGTGCTCAGAGAACCGAATTAGTACGGCCAGAGCTGGCATCTCCGGAGAACAACAACACAAATGAAAGTAATTTCACTCTGATAGATAACTATTCTAAGATGTTTTTAAACAAAGTTCGTATGATCACTCACAAAAAAAATGCTCTGGCTGCATCCTAATCTTGTACAGCATGATTTGAAAAAATATCTTTGCGTTTCTGAACAGAGAACGGTTGACTACATGAATTTGAATTCCTTTTAAAAGCATTAAATCAATATCGATACTGAATAGCATAGGTACTGCATTCTAAAGTAATTTTTTTAGTTTGAAGATAGTCTACTTATTCGTCTGTATCTATAAATATTGAGTAATATATTAGAGCACCTTTAATCAAGAGAAACGGTGCATGAATTATTTCTCGAAAATATATTTCGAGCTTTCTACTCAAACGACAGATCATTTTTACAAGAGAAAAAAATGAATGTAAATTGTTGATTTCAATTATTTCTTTTCATTTCTTTCCAGACGATGAACCGAAGTCTGATCAATCTGATGAGTCTGATGATTCAGACGATGCAGCTAGCATATTTAGTGATATTAGTTTTGATGCTTCGTGGATATCTATCGAAGATCAAATATTCATCACTGGTTTACCTGTTAACATGCCTGCAGACAAATTGTTTGATGCAGTTAAGAAAGTGTTTTCTACTAGTGGCGATATTAAGGTAACTTAAAAGAAAATTCTATCACAAGCGAATATTTGTTTGATTGTTTGGTTGCTAGATTCATAGAAGAACAAAAAAACCGCTCATCAAGTTATACAAACGAAAAGAGAATCAATCTCAGCTAAGTGGAGCGGCGACAGTGCGATTCAAAAACAAAAAATCAGTGTCCGATGCAATCGAAAAATATAATGGTAAACTAGAACGAGCTGCTATGACTATGAAAATAATAGATGTAATATCTCTTTCAGGAAAACAAGTACCAATTTTAAATAATTGTCAAATAAAGGTTCAAATGGGAAGAGCAAGAATTCGTAAAACAAAACAAGCAGTGAAAGGGCCACAATCTTCAGTAACATCAAAACAAATTCCACGAGAAGGTAATATATATTTACAACAGAAAATCGGTTGTGAATGTGGTTTTCAAGAGCATTCAAATGCGTCCACATTTACACCCCTCATCTGTTCTATTTGCTTGGAAGATTATTAAAATTGTTAGTTGTAATGATGTATGTTTATGCACAAAGTATCTCATGGGAAATCAGAGAAATTTACTTAGCACACTTGTTTCATGGTTGCAGAATAATTCCATCTTCTTTCTCAGATAAGCAATAAATACAGTAGTAACAGCAATAAAAAAATTTCTAGATCTTGGACAAGATTTAGAACACGATCTTATCAAGATGATTATCACTAAATTGCTAGATGACAAAAGCGATTTAATGGAAAAATTATACAGCTCTAGTATAAGTAGAATTAAATTTTCCGAAAAATTTTAGTATAATCTGAGATAACGTCTCAACTAATTCCATTGCAACGATAATCTGATGTGCTTACGTCTGTAATGAGTCATTCATCTAGAACTAGAAACTTGATCCATAATCAGATGCTAATAAAGAAAGGTACTAAAAGGATTCAAAAGTATCTTTATAGAGCTGCAGAATATTTTTGATTGCTATAATTATTCCGCATAGAAAAAATTTCAGTTCCACAACCGGCAGCATCCCAGGAAAATTCAATATTTATAACTGGTTTACCAACGACAATCTCCGAAGAACTTCTGTTCCGTACTCTTCAGGATGAATTTTCTAATGTTGGTAAAATTGAAGTAATTGAAATAATGAATTTAGAAAATGAATTTTTAACTCCATGATTACCATTTTAGATAGATAAATCAACCAAAAAGCCGTCTATTTATTTCTTTAAAGAAAGAGATAAACCGTTCGAACTGAATGGCAGAAGTAAGATCACATTTCAGAAAGAAGGGTCGATAAAGAAAGCAATTGAAATATATGATGGTATGTTAGAATAAACTTCAATAAATAAGATAAAAATTTGTATTGTTTTCGTTGAAGGAAAACGGATTAAAAGTTTGAATAACTCTCAAATCTATGTAAGAAGGTTTCAAGCAAAAACTCCCAGTGTATTACCACCGTCACCGGAACTCAAATCCACAATATTACTAATGCAAACTCCACAGGAAAGCGGTAGGTATCTAGAAAAAAAAAGCAGTTTAAAGTCGGATCTTTGACGGTCAATCTTAGATCAATGGTCTACCAGATTCATGAGAGATTTCAAAATGTGACTTTACAAAGATTATTTTCTATATTTCACTATGTAACACGAACGATTTGATGGAAAAACTCTAAAACGTTATGCAAAAGCAGAATTTTGATATATCCAAGATCTCTGTATAGTTTGAGATAGGGTCTCAATGAATTATAACTCGAATACAGTTACGTGTAGGTGCAATTTTTTATGAGTCAATGATTTGTGAACTAAACCTACACTTACTCAAAGGAATTCAATTATATCTAAATAATAAATACATTGTGGTAGAATTTCAAGTAGATTTCTTGAATTTCGACAACAATTTGAACTATGCCTATTAATTTTATCGATACAGAAGAATATTTTTATATGATTTAAATAATGTCTAATTGAAGTTATTGAAAACTGGTTCATCTTACAAATAAAACAGTTAGACAAATATTCATTAGCATTTTATACAATTTTAAAAGTCTACAGTTGCAGAAAAAAAATTGACTGATGATTTGTATTCTTACATAGAATAGAATAATTCTTTTTTGTAAATTAGTAAGAGACATCAACTAAATTTGGCATGAATCACTGTTGGTTTATAATTTCAGCACAATATGAAAGAAAAATTTGGGTGCTATTTAGATATCGAAATTCTATGACTTTGAAACAAATATGTTAACTTGAATAGATAATTCATTATCCCAATCACATGTAATATTATTTGAAACTTGAAAAAATTTATTTTATATTGTCCAAAATTGATCTATTGTCGGTGCCAGAAATAGATGGGGAAAACTCTAGAACAAATTATCGAGAACGGAAGCTGTTAGAGCCCTGTGGTTTTCACTTTTGGGGAGAGCGATGTTGAGAGTATCGATCGATATAAAATCCATTAGATTTAGAGAGTTTTTTCATGGAAAATGTTGGATTGACATTTTGTTCGCTGTCTTTTTTCATCATTTTTCCGAGCAACTTCAATCTAATTTATACCAAAATGTAGCCTCAGACACCATATATTCCTATAAAAATTATCATGTTCTCTAGAAGCCTCATCAAAGGAAAACGTTAAAAAGATAATAAAAAGTTGTGAAAATTTTAGCCTGAACACGAGGTACTCAGGGCCATATTTTGGTATAATTTGGGTTGAAATTCCTCGGAAAAATGATGAAAAAAGGCAGCGAACAAAATGTCAATCCAAAATTTTCCATGAAAAAACTCTCTGAATCTAACGAATTTTATATCGATCGATACTCCCGACATCGCTCTTTCCAATGGTGAAAACGCAAATCTCTAACTGCTTCCGTTCTCGATAATTTGTTCTAGAATTTTTCCCATCTATTTCTGGTGCCGATAATACTTACTTTCCTTCTTACTTGTAAGAACATAATCTAATAGCTCTTACTGGAGTTGTCTATCATACTAAACGTTATTTAGAATGATTTACAGAATTCTCTGTTGTCACTGGTAGAACAGTTAGAATCATCAATAGATTAAAAAGTACATTACTGTTATTTAGTTGCAGCTTCAACAATCCAAGAATATGAGAAAAGCTGCATTGCAAAAAGTTTTGGATAAATTATGTAACTCTGTTTTTCTTTCAGCAAAACTTATCTAGCCATAATCAATCTGATTTCAAAATAATGAAAAAGATCTCATTCAAATGAAATATCCTTGATAAACATCTATTCAATTTATATTAATATTGTTCCATTAATCAATCCATTTTTGTTGTAGAGCCGCGTCAACCTAAAGGAAGTGTTAATATCCTTTGGGATATCGAAAATTTGGCCATTCCTGCTGGGCGCAGTGCCTTTAGTATTGTAATGAAGCTAAAGCAACGGTTAATAACAGAACGAAACATGGTCGAGGGTAGTTTCGCAGTCTTCTGTGACGTCACAAAAGTACCGAAAAAGCATCAAGTAGACCTCCACTATGCCAATGTAGATATTCAGCATGTGCCGAATTGCAAGAGTGTGATAACCGATAAAGCCATTTACAAGGCTATACAATTATTCAAAGAGCAGCAGAGGACACCTGCCACATTAGTACTTCTTAGTGGAGACATCGATTTCATTCGATGCATAAGTGAACTTCGGTTCAACCAAAAACATTATGTCATTATTGCCTATAATGCACAAGCGAACACCAAACTCTTAGAGACAGCTAATGAAACTATTCCTTGGAGCGAATTCACTGATGAACCTAGAGTAAATACTCCCAAGAAGATAGATCCGCCGAAACCTAATCCAAATCAAATGGTTTTAGCTCCAGAAAAAGTTGACACTGATAAACCTAGAGTGAATACTCCGAAGAAGAGAGATCCACCGAAACCCAATCTAAGTCAAATGTTTTCGGTTGCACAAACAGCTAATGATGCTGCATCAAGAATACCCTCACCTGATGTTATTCTCACAGCTTTTAGTCAACAATGTGTTGCACAAACAAACAATGGGGATTCCAAGATGATTAATCCTGTGCCGACTGATATACTTCGTACAAGAGTGAAGCGCAACAAAGAAAGATTATGTGACCAAAATCCGAAGATGTAAGTATTTCTTTTAAATATATAGTGTCGCTGAATATTTGTTGAACTTTTTGAAAGAAAATTTCAAATTCCAAAGCATTATTTATAGAACGAATAGAACTGAGTCTCATTGTACGATACCATATGATTGAGCTGTACATATTTGGCAATCTGTTATGGAGAGCAAGAATTCCAATCACGCTGCTTAGTATTTTTAAATATCTTTATCTCGCTACAAGTGAATGATCGTGATATAAATTCAAAAGCATACTACTTAAAAACTTTTGAAGATAGTTGAATTCCAAAGATTTGATATTTTGAATGAAGAACGTTTGTTCATTTCATTAGACCATAGTTCCGAGATTATTGGAAATCTTCGATTGCTAATGAAAACAATCAAAATCTCGTTATACCTAAGGTTTGTACCTGTGAATGTGTCTTTCAATACTATACATTGGTCCACTATAAAAGAAATACGAGATTAAAACTTAACTGAGCGGATAAAAGTACAATACAAAAGCTTTTTACATTCAAGATCCTTTTGAACAAAGCTACTGACAGGTAGCCAGTGACCCAACGAATGAAATCACTGTTTCTATAAACCCTTTTACGTGTTCTGGTTGCCTTTTTCTATGAAAAAGAATGCAGAAAAATTGAATTTTCAGCTTTGCAATAATATTATTCGTCGAAATTCGTAATTGTTCAAACAATTTATTCGGAAAAGAAAATTCCCTGAAAATTTAATACAGAAATTCAAAGCATTTCTTTTCTTAAAAAGATGGTATCTACCAAAATATTCACAGTTTATGCGCCATCTCATTTCTCAGCCATAGTATTTGTCAACTGGAACCAAACTTTAATATAGTTAATTTATACGATGAATGTTCACTTATAAACAGACAATACTTCCCGCAGGCCGACATCTAGTAGAGCAGTTTGTATTTGTTTATTCTATAATCCGAATGCTTTTGTCCTCGACTGAGACGTGATTTCAATATACTATGTGAAACACGATGCTCAAAAACAGAGTGACGTGAAAATCGAGCGAAAAAAGCGCTATCCAGTTTCGTTGTTTAGAAGATTTTTACAGATTTTTAAATGAGTTGGTTTTATAAAGAAACTCTTGGCACAGATTCTGGGAAAGGTTCAAGGTACATTTAGATTACTTCCCAGGTAAATTTCTTCTATACATTAGTAATCTTTGGTAACTTATCCAAATAATAGCATGTATTTCCTGTGATTACTGGAACTCTAATTAAATTGATATCAATATATCAATAACTATTGTCAATAATCAGAGTCGGTTCCTCTGTCTAGGTTTTCTATACATTTATAGTCCAATAAATTTTATAAGTTTTCTTTTGCATTGGAGAATTCTTTATAATTTTACGAACTATGTATGCAGTATTTCTCTGATTGTCCGAGAACTCTTTAGAAATGTCATAGAGTGATGGTTTTTTGCGTAGATTTTTCATGCTATCGCTATTTTCGCATTGCTTGTAGCTTTAGAAATTAAAAAATGAATTACTTTTGTTTAATACTATAAAAGTCACTTCAGTTACATGATGATTCGTTTGTTAATGCGAAAATTCTTGTTTGATTACTTTCTTCTCCAAATATTCATTCGTGATGATATAAATCTTATTACATGTCCTTACATATCTCGTAGACTGAAAACAACTAGTATGCAGCTACAATATTGAATATTAAAGATATTAATTTGAAAATTTGATTCTTCAATTTATTATTTTGTACAGTTTCGTTGGAAAAGGTTAATCATTCATGATAAGTTTTCTTTTTATGCTGGTAGAAAAATTAAATCCATCACATTTACACATGCAAAAGTCTATTGCGCCAGGTTCTATCTTGTCTATGTCTATAGGAAGATCCGCTTACGTCTATCATACAGATGTTTTGATTTTCATTTCTATTGCGAATCATTCGGAACGCAACATAAGTTTAAAGATTTGATTACACAACAAACAATTAGTATGCAAAAAAAGTTCTGGTGAAGAAAAACTTTGAAAGTAAGCACCTATCGAAATCCAACTCTTCGACTGATGATGAGTCACTCTGTCCATTGAGCATGCCCTTGTAGAAAAATTTGATTTATTGGAAAAAGTTCATTTTCAAAAAGAAAGAAGATGCATTGTAAAGCAAGTATTATTAAATAGTCTGAACTTGCAATTTTCATGAAATTCACTACAAAATTCGTTTTACTTTTTCTTTGAAGACTAATGTCAAAGCGGTTTGAATAATTTCAGAACTCAACAAAAATTTGTGAATAGGAAAATCAAAACATTTAAAATTAGATACATTTAGGTATTATTTATGCGGCACGCTAGTTCTCTTTGATTCTGTTGTTGTATAGAATTATTTAGCGAAAGTCATGACTAATGTTATACGACCAAACAAAGGAAGAATACGAGTTTCAGGAGATTTGAATTTATACTTGCTATCTAAACAAATAATATCAAGCGATCTTTGAGACATTTAAACTATATTCTACATCGCAATTCTAAGAATTGCACTGATCAATCAATTATATGAAATAACTCATCACCTATTCTTTTTGAAAAACCGAATAATATTTCTGTCAGACTACACTGAATCTTATAGAAAGTACGTGCCATTATTCTGTTTCAAGGTCAACATACATATCTTCTTATGTAGCAAGAAAATTCATATATATTTACTGAAATTTCTATTTATTTCAGTTCTAATGCTCAATTATCGGAAGCATTACCATCACAAACAGGTGGTTCACATAATGTCGCATCAGGAGGTATTCAACGATATGCCAAACCAGTGGACGAAGGCCAATCGCACAAGAAACAAAATAAGTCTCCGGATACTGACAATTCGTTTTTTTGTTCCACGTGTAACAAGAAGTTCTCCACTGATGCTGGTCGACTTCAGCACGAAATAGATAAGCATAAAGTCGGAGAACTAATTGATCTTGACAGTTTGGCAGTGAAAAATGACTTGAACTGTCATCGTGAGTCAAAAGGCTCCAAAAATCGATCAAATGTTGATCTTATTACATTTGATGATGGTAGTGCCGGTTGTCATACATCACAATCGAGTTTATCAGAGACAACAAGGAAAACTGGCGGTCTCATCCAACTTGGTGATGATAACAACAGCACTGGTAGATATTTCGCTGACTGCGATGATGATTCTTTGAAGAAGTAGGTCAAAGACCAATGCCAGGTTCTAGAGAATCGCTAGAGCCACTAAGAACTGGTAGAAATCGATTCATTCAAAAAATGTAATAGCAAATCTCTCTTTGTGATAAAAAGCCCTAAACTTTCTTCATATGTTTGAGTGTGTAAAATGTTTCAAGGTTTTTTTTATTACAGAGAGGTTTTCTAATGATTTTGAGAAGAATTTTTGAAAATTTTTAAGAAAAACTATTTGATATCTTATATTGCTATTTTAACAAAACTTGATTGGTTTTTTAAACGTGTATTTATGATATTAAATAGCCATCAAATTGTAACATGCTTTTGTGAAATTTCTGAGAAGTCAACATAAAAGAATTGACGATATATATATGATTGAGTGTGAATATAAGTGTGATTCTGAGCAATTTTCTGAGCCATACTTTCATCTTCTATGATTTTGATTAACTTTGAGTAACAATTAGAGATCATGACAAAGAATTCCAAAAACTTTGTGCACCATAATTCGATCAAGTGCTATTAGTATATTTAATTGTTCTCATAGCTTTAGCGAAACATTAAGTAGTGCCAAATATTTTGATCTAACATTTCAACAGATCCAACACAACGAAAAAACTTGATCAAACATTTTCAAAAAATCATAATAAAAACATGAAATTTAGTATTGGAAATTACTGGTGAACTCTTAACTTATTGAAACTGATCGTTCATAGTTAAAGAATAGTTGGATGTGGGTGTGGGTGGGTGTGGGCGTGGGTGTGGGTGTGGGTGGGTGTCTGGGTGTAGGTGAGGTGTGGGGTGTGGGTGTGGGTGGGTGGTGGGGTGTGAGTGTAGGTGCGCTTGGGTGTGGGTGGGTGGTGGGGTGTGAGTGTGGGTGTGAGGTGTGGGTGGGTGGTGGGATGTGAGTGTGGGTGTAGGTGGGTGTGGATGGGTGGTGGGGTGTGAGTGTGGGTGTGGGTTTTGCGAAAAGAAAGATTAACACACACACTTACCCATATCCGCAGTCATATCCATAGCCCCACACATCCACACCACACCCACACCCACACACCCCACACCCACCCACACCCACACCCCACACCCACACCCACACCCACACCCTTAGCCGATCATTTGATCGGCGATGGCGGCGACGACGACAAACTTTTCCTATGTTATTTCACAGGGTATTTCGTAGGTTCTTACCGTTAAAAGAAATATTAGACGTTCTGTTGTCACAGAATTATAAACGCTGTTTTCCTCTTAGCATGCTCATGTCTTTTTATGCAAAAGTTTTTCCATTAGATGTAACTTTATTCTCATTAATTCAAAAAATTCACACTGTCTCATCATAAAATAACCTCAAACCACACAACAATAACTCGTGATATAAGCAAAAATGGCAATAATGTGACTATCCATCTAAAATACAAAGTAAATTCAAATATGATAGTTTAGAGCTGGCACTTTGTCTTTACTTTACCCGGTAAAGTAAAGTGAAAAAAAGGAAGTTATATGTTTTTAACTTTTTTGGCAATTTCTTAGTTCAGGATCATGTATAAATAATCCTTGGACGTATTAATGTTTATTCAATATCGTTTCGTCTTAAAATTAGTATGAAAAAAAAGTAAAGCCGAAAAATATCGATTTTTTATGAATACATAAAAAATATTGTTTGTTTAACTTCATCTCACTTTATTTTCCACATTCAAACTATAGTATTATTTTGCTTTACTCTACTTTACTTTTTCAAAGTAAAATAAAGATAATGTGCTACCCCTGTATGGTAGCTCGAATTGGAACATAAGTGAAACTAACATTGAAATTAGAATTTGAATCCAAATTCAAATCGATACTTTTCTGTGAGTTGAGAAAAAGAGCAAGATTTGTTTCTATTAATTATTCGAATTCAAATTCAAACGAAATGTTTTTCTTTTTTCTAAACTGTCAGGAGAGTGTCGATTGGAATTGGAATTCGAATCGCAATGTTAGTTACATTTATATTCGAACTCAAACTGGACAGTTAGTCGAAACTGCATACTGAATAAGTCAAAAATCGCGAAATGGAGAAAATAATAGCGATGAATCTATTGTGCATGAAGGAACAAGGCAAATGAGAACCTCATAAATATGGTAGCGTCACAAAATCACAAGAAGACATATTTGCTTATTAACACGGTTTTCAGACCATATGACATCCAAGAAAAGATACACCAATTCCTATTGTTTAAAAGTTCTGTTGATTTCAGCAATCTCTAATTGCCACACCCACACCAAAACTTGAGATGTTACTGATTATTATCAACAAGTGATAATTTAGAAAAAGAGTAAGCTTGAACTGTAACCTTTCACTCGATCGGCGCCGGCGGCGCAAAATTGGCGGCTAATAACCTTACCTATACCTACCCATCCACACCCACACTCACACCCAACCCTCTAAAATAGCCTAGAAAAGATTTCACTAGTTGGCGCTGTAGTCCGATGCAATTTAACGAGCTCATTCCGAATACCACCTTGGTTTTTCTGCGAAGTGTAACAAGGATGCCTAAAATCGAATTTCCGACCAGAGACCGTGGGTTTGTGGACATCCGATAAAATAGCCTACGAAAGCTTTCGTCAGGTTTCGCATCTATCATAAGTACGATACATATGTAGGAACATGGAATAAAAGTGCGCACTCGATCGGACGTTACTTCTTTGTAGCGTTTACGATATACGAACCGGTATGTTTTTAGATAGGTTTTCGAGCTCGAGATCCTTTGTTTTGTACTCTATTCTTAATTGGATTACGATAATTTTTTGTTTACCATAAAGTCCATAGGTGAGCAAGTTTATTGTGATATTATTTGCATGTGAACTATTATGTTATATTGCCAAGCGGCTTGACTTTCTTCATTTATGCTGATTTTTCGGTCCAAGCCTTGTCAAGCTCTTTTCTATGGCTCTATAAAACTTTGAGAATCGCTATTTTAGGAAATAATAGATCATATATGTATGTATCTACGCAAACGGTTATATCCTAGAAAAGAATATTTTTGCATATATCCGCCTGACTCTCCACTGTGCACCCTTTGTGAATCTATTGATTGAAACTAATCTATCTGAACATATTTAATCAGAAGATTTGATCTGAGAATGATTAATAATATAAATATGAAAAACATACTTATGTAAGCTGAATTTTGCCAAGACTACGATTAGACATGAAATGTTAATTAACTATTTTATTTCTAATCGTTCGTGATTGACCATTGCAGAAAACAGAATTTCTGTTCGTGTATATTTGTTTCGCTCTTGTTCGTTTAGTTGTGAGTGCATCGTTAAAGTTACTATAATTGAAATGATTATTTAGTAAAACTTCTATTTATCGATTTTGTACACTTCAGTTTTTACAATAGTTTTTTAGCAATTTTTCTAATAATGATTTCAGTATAACTTACATGTTTTTTTTTCCTTAGAACAACAAGAGAAATATCTTAACTGATAGTTTTTCTCATTGTTAAATGTAAAAAAAAAAGATTTAGGAAAAATGAATGTATGAGAAATTGTTCATCATCAAGCTTAACTTTAATATGTCAATTGATGTTTCATATGTATACGCAATTCATCTAAAGAATGTTCTCGAACTTCAGTTGTATGTCAGTGTAATGATTGAATAGCACACGATGTATTTCAAATAAAATAGATTGATAAAAATTGGTTTGTTAATAACGATCAACTTAAGAGAACAGCTTTAGCTTATCAATCTTCTACATATGTTACAGATATTGAAAAAGCTTTAATTGAAGTTGTTAATCGTAAATTTGAAGATCATTATTTTGATCATAGAGTATTTATACATGATCATATTATAAAATATAGATAATTATCGGATACATTAGAATTGCGTATCTTTATGAATGGACATTCATTGAAACATTATTATTGGTATTAGAAGATCATATCAAAACATTTATTACAAAAGAAAAGATTATTTAGAGATAGTAACAATCGTAGTTACTATACAGCCAAATATTAAAATATTCAATCCTTTGACAGTTTCACTTATTTATCGTTTTTCGTTTTCAATAAGATATTCATCCATCTATCAATATTTTCATGTTAAAATTGAATAAGGAACAACACTCGAGAATGATAACCTGAAAACAACAAGTGTTTAAACTTAATCGGTAACTAAAATTATTTTCATTTAAATATGTTAATAAATTATTCTTAAAAAAAATAATTTAATAAAAATTTTAAATAAGAATTTCACACTTTATTTTATTTTTTTTCATATTGAATTTAAAAAAATCAACTTACAAGAATTACACAAAAGTCTTCTTATTAAATGTCATAAATACTAATCATTGATCAAAATGAATACAATTAGATCTTGAATAAATAAATATAGATAACCGTCGAAAACAGACTGAAAATCATTGTCTTTGACGAAATCATAATTGAATTTGTTCCACAATAACTATATGAAAACTTATAGAAATATAAAAGTTATCTTATCGATTTTACCCTGTTACTGATGGTGATCGTCTACAAGCATCAATTGGAGAGAAAATACATGCTTGAGTACAAGCCACTGTTGTACATGCGTAATAACTCATTACACCAGCATAATAAGGGCAATAACAATCGCATCTATACCCGATTACATTGTTAACGAACATTAACATTAAAATTATCAATAAAAAAGTGAACATTTTTTGTTTTTGAAAAAAGATTAAATTTTGAATGTCGTCAACCGGTACCTTAAAAAGTGCCATTTTTTTCAAATAATTGTCATCAAAGCAAATATTATTTGAATAATCAGCATCTTTACTTTTAAAAAAAAGCACTCAAACATAATCATTACATTTCAAGGACAAATAGCAAAATCATACATTTTCAAATTAACAATTTGACCTATAAAATCAAATTTCAAACAAATGAAAATATATGAAATGAAATTTTGATTGAAAAAAAATGGAAGAAACTAAAATATGATTAATTATTAAAAAACTAAATCTTTTATTTATCTTCTGCAACAAAAAATCA